AAACCCAGCTTGGACTTCTGGCAGTTTTCTGCTGATGTGCTGTTCCAGTTGTTTTTGGATAATTTTCACTTGGTTTTGGATAATCTTCACTTGGTGCATCTGATTTAGGTAATGAAATATTAGGCATGAATCACTGAGGGCCAAAGAGTGGACCATAGTAGCTGGTCTTGCAGATGATCCCTTGTTAGTCTTACCTCTTGGTATTTACTCTCTTGTGTAGTTCATCTTAAATTGACTAAAGCCAACCTGTGTAACCAATGGCGCTCTTGTGGTGCCGTGAGTAATGTGTCATGGTGCTAACCAGTAGATGGGTGGTTTGAACCCATCACCTTCTCTGTTGGAAAAAGATGAGCAGTCTCTTCTTACATCATCAGAAATCCAATGGAGAAATCTATGAGAACTGGTTCAATGACAGTGGTTTTAATTAGGGTTATATAACCAGTAAGTTAGTGACTAAATAGAGGAATGGGACCGTAACGTCTCTTGCAGTGATCACTTTGGGAGAAGCAAGTTGCTACCTCATGAAGACACTGAAACAGTGTTGAAAAGAGGTCTGTATGTTGAGAACTTGAGGTTTCCTGCCAGCAAGCAACCTGATTTGTCAGTTCTATGAGTAAGTCACCCTGGGAGCAGATCTTCTAAACCCCAGTGAAGCCAGCAGACAGCTGAAGTCTTGGATAATATCTTGACTACAACTTCACGGGAGATGCTCAGTCTGGTACCATCCTGCTCCCAGTTCCTGGCCCTCAGAAACCAAGATATAAATAATCTATTATTTCAGGTTGCTATTATCTGGACTAATTTGCACACATCAGTAGCTAGCTAATGTAGGTACTACAGTGGCTAACATCAATTTAGGAATATTTGCAGATTATTGGGGTCGAGTGATCCTACCTCACTTTTTAATTCAGTTCCTGATTCATTAATTTCTAATCTATCATCCCCCCTTCATTTTACACTGGTTATAACCACCTCCTAATCAATTCAAGGCTACAATGCAGAAGAGACCAGAGAAAATAAGAAAATCTTGAACTGGTCAGCTGTTTGGTTTCATAATGCAACCCTGAAATGGAAATAATTCCGGAGCTTTGGTGTGTGCAGTGGTTAAATGCTAGTCTGTTGACAAAGAGGCCAGCAGTTCGAATCTGTCAGTAGTTCTGAGGAAGAACTATGTGACTGTCTGTTCCCATAGAGACTACAACTGTTTTTACACACATGGGGTTACCACGAGTTGAAATAAGGGGAAATCTGGTAGCATGGTCTACAAGGGCATATGCTATTAATCCAGAGCCACCCTTGTCTCTAGCTCTGTGAATCTACCAGCCATTCTATGGGTGAAAAATGATCAATTTCTTTCTGTGCTTCAGAATTTCCAGCCTTGGAAAGCCAATGGAAAGTCAGCTATGGGTTGGTTCCTACTCAGACGACAGTGAGTTTGAGATTGTGTGTTAAGGCAGTAGATTCACTCAAAGGCACCTAACAACAACAACAACAACAACAACAACAACAAGAAGACAGTGGGTTTGGTTTGGAATTTTTAATTTATAGTAATAGAAAACTTTTAAACTAAAGGAAGTCTCAGAAATCTTTAAAGATAACTTTTTTTAGATCTGTTCTTGGGAATCTGTACTTTGGTTCCTCAAAGAGTAGAGAATGCAGATGTTTAGAGCAGAATTTTGACGTGAAATGTTTTTTTGTGTGTGGGGTTGTGAGGGTGCTAACCCCAGGGCTGGGCTTCTCTCCCCTGAGGAGAGAAATACTTGCCCTTGGTAATGGGTTGCAGATCCACAAACAACTCATTTTCCAGATGAGGAAGATAAGGCCAGAAAGGCTAACTACTGTTTCCAGAGCCACATTGTTGATTAGTGCCTCAGCTACCAGGAGTCCTGGTTTCCAAGCCACTTAGATTAGATTCATCTCCGTGTGTCCTATATTTTGTTTTTGTTTAGTAGTTTCAAGTGAAAATGATTATGTGAAACCAGGACTAGATACATCTTTTTTCAATATGTTTTAGTAGGTGTGGTTTCTTAATGTTTCCACAGACATGAAGTTTTTATATCTCCCCTTAGGCTACGAATAGGTTCTTTGAAATATTAAAGAAAAAAAATTACCAGTGGGCTCCAGTCCAGTAAACATAAATTTGGTTGCCGTCTTACCATTATGATCGTAGGACAATCTGTTCTTGCTGTGTGAGTCATGTGTAATTTTGTATATATAGATTTTTCTATTTATGCTTTTATATACTTTCTATTTATACTTTTTAAAATGGCTTTATTTAAAACCAGAGTTAATAATATTAATGGGACTTAAGTATATTTTATTCTTTTTGTTTTCAATTAATAAAGTGCAGCCACTCAGATATTAAGTGATTTATTTCTAAAAAAGTGAAGCGATTTGGAGTCAGATATGGCTTTATCTGTGCTTATCAACCTGTATGTGGATAAAGGCTATTCTGTTTTCATAAAACAAATGAGGAATTATTTTGACTATGAATGAATAACTTTATTTTCAAATTAATTTTGTCTTAAGGCAGAACCCAATTGAAGAGATGAACAGAATAGAAAAAAGATAATTTTTTTAGGAAAAAAAATAAATAAAAGCAAGCTTTCTATGAATATGGGGTATTGGTACACCAGACCTCCTCTTTTTGTCAGTTTCTCAGATGGCCAGTTTTAAAACCATTAATTTTAATTATTTTATATTTACAAGTTATTGTTGTGTGCTGTCAAGTAAAAACTGACCCATAGCTGACCCTTCAGTGTGTTATCAGAGTCAGTTAATCACATGTGAGGAGTTTGCCCATCTGTCTCCCATGGTGCAGCTGGTGGATTTGAACTACATATCTTTGGACTGCCAGTGCAACAATATACTAAAAAACTCAGCCTCACAGCTGTTAAGTCAGGATGACTCACAGTGACCCTCCACTGGGCTTTGGAGGCTGTAATTGCCATCAGAGGAAACTGTCATCATTGTCCTGCAGTGTTACTGGTAGAGTCAAGCTGCTAAAGACTCTGGCTCCTGAACTCAAGGACGTGGGACGTGGTTGTTCTGTATTAGCGAGTGGGAATCAACTTGCCGCTGGCCCTGCAGTGGGTTTTCAGGGGCTGTCAACTGCACAGGAGAATGCCCCTCTTTCTCCACAGAGAAGGTAGTAGATTTGAAATGCCTGCCTTTGGGTTGGCAGGTTTAGTAAATCATATGACCTGAAAAAGTAAATTATTTATTACTTGTTCATCTTGGAATTTTGTCAATAAAATATATCCCCAGTCTCTCACTTCCCACATAAACTTCTTCATCTTTCATGGAACTGTTCAACTTTTGCCTTGTGAGTTCCTTTAATCTTTGACCTGTTTCTCCTGTATGAAATGAATCATGGATTTCCCCTTTCAGGTAGGTAGAGCACACTGGGTTTTTTACTGATAAAAACATACAGGTTGCTGTTGTGGTCGTTCCAGTTTATAATGACCCCACACATGTCAGAACAGAACTGTGCACCCGTGAAGGGTTTTCAATGCCTGATTATTTTTTTTAAAAGTAAATCACCACCTCTGGGTGGACGTGACCCACCAACCTAAAAGTTAGCAACTGAGAATGTTACCCAGGCAGTCCTTTGGCTGATTGTCCAGGAACATAAACCCTCACCTCGACAGCTAGATTTGTTTGTGTTTTGAACGCCCCTTCGTTTCCTAGCAATCAGTGTTGCCTTTCTTACCACACATTCACTTGCTATTTCCCTGAAACCCCACTCACTCACTGCTCAAGAATCCAAGTAGTTGAACCTCTTCAACTTTCTTTGTTCCCTCTGTGAATGTTCATTCCCTCCGTCTCGGCTGTACCACCCCATGTGTTCTTCCCATGGGGATGAGCTGCCCTGTGCGGGAAAGCAGTAATTGCCGCTCACTAAGTGGCAGGTTGCCTCTGGTCTGTCAGAGCCAGCTGGGAGGGAGGTGAGGTTTCAGGGAGCCTCGCACCACGCAGGCAGAGGTGCCAGCCTGCGTGAGTGGACGGACGTGTGCCAGCCTGCCAGGAGGCCGCTCCCTCGCCCCAAAACCCCAGCACATGCAGATAAGACGCCTGCATGGGATCATCCTGAGCTCAAACTCAAAGCATGGACATTTTTTTTCTCTCTCTCTAAAGTAGTAAAGCTAGAAGAAGACACTCATAATCCTAAGCAAATGCATTTTTGCAACTACAGCCAACTGTAAAATAGACTATACAGGAGTCAGTGCTGGGCAGCCATTTACATTAGTGAGAAGCACTGATTTGTGAATGGAGGATTTGGGTTGTAAAGGAAGATCAGAGGGCAGGGGTGGGAGTTCAGGGATAGAGAGTCCTTTTTCAGAGGTGGTTCCTGAGGCAGGTGCAGGGACTGAGGGAAGTGCCACACCTAAACTCTGTGGGTGAGCCAATGAAAACCGGCTTCCCCTGGGTCCTTATAGCATGCCTTCCCTGTCTGTCAAGAGCCAGCTCAGCACCCGAAGCCAGATTCCAGGTGTGGTATTCCACCGCCGTTCTGTAATTTGTAATCATAGAAACAGAATGTTCCTCCTCTTACTCTTTCCCTGCCAACAGTTTCTGGGTGGGTGAATGTCAGTAGCTGGAGTTATTTTTAAAGAGGAGAGGTGAGGCTTGTCGTGCAAAGCTGGAAAGAGGGCGTTTGTTTGCAGAGCAGAGCTGACATCAAAGTGTAGATTACTGCTCAGTGGCTAGGCACTTGTCCTGTAACAGGTAATGTTTAACGTGCCAGTCACAGAGCTCACAGGAGCCACATACGTCCAGGCCACTCTGTCACTCCTCTGGAAGACTGGAGGGCCACGCTGGCCCATGTGTTTTGTTGTTTGTTGTTTTGGTTTTTTTTTTAAATATACACCTATATTGTTCTTTCTGCTTTCTTTTTTGCTGCTCTTAGTTGGACTTTGAAGCTTGGAAGTTGTATCATAAAGATTTGTAACCTTTGCCGGGGAGAGAGAGAGAGAGCGAGCAAGCTCGGCTAAGCAGTCTCTTTCTGCCTCTCTTCACAGGATAATATAAATGTTTTTCTAAAAGCTTGTGAAAAGATTGGATTGAAGGAAGCCCAGCTTTTCCATCCTGGGGATCTACAGGATTTATCAAACCGAGTCACCATCAAGTAAGTGTCACCTGCCCATTTTTTTTATTTTTTTAATTTAAACTCTAGGCTGAAAGTTTAAGGGAAAAGAAATGCTGAGAGGTCATGATTACTGAGAAATATTCCCCCCCTCTCTGTCTCCTTTAATGCCAAAATAGACTATTGAAAAAAAATCGTAAGGATTGTGACTATGACGCTTTCTGTAACTGATAACATACCATGGTGTTATTTTAGATCTCTTGACTAACTGTAAGGGAAGTTTTTATTTCAATCCTTGTGCAGTGTGGTAGAGTTTGGTAACTAATGGTGAAAAATCATCATTCTACTTAGAAAGTGAATTTAGATATTACAGAGTACAGAGTTAAAAAAGAATGAAAAATAGTGTTTCGCGTGAAGGCATAATTGCTAATGTGAAAATTTGATAACAGTGGGGAAAAAGTACTCTCTTAATAGTTGGAAAGCTGGGGTGACCGGGGTCGTCATGTAGCACCAACCACCTTATCAATTGTGAATATTTCCTTAAAAATTGACCATTTTTCACTATTGTAATGTTATAAATCAGAAAGTGAAAGTGGGGGGAGGTAGGAGCATGCAGGTGACCTGTCTTTGGATTTTAGGTGAAAATAGTGTTTATTTAGGTGTTTATGGTTTCCGAAAATCTCATTTTTAGGACATATTCCCCCTGTGTACATCTCATTTTCTAATAGAGAATTAAGAATAAGTTCATGTTACAGGATAAATGTGAAAGAAGAATGATTTAATTTCGTCAGAATGACGGTCTCCATATTATCATTGTTCTTAAACCTAATGTTTCACTCATTAACATTTCTTCAGGGAAAAAAGATAAACACTTGATTCTTTCTTTAGATATGATAGAAATAGGAAAAATACTTTATACCAGTTTAAAGATTTAATTAATACAATTAATATCCCTGAAATGTAGCTTTAATTTTGTGACAAAATTGTCTGTAATCTGAAATATGGCGTTTGGTTTTTTTTTTTTTCTTGAAAGAGACTATCATTCTATATATGTATCTTTTTAAAAATTTTTCTGCTAGTTTATTTATAAAGTTGGAATACAAATTTGAACAAGTTCTTTCAATTTCCCTTACCTCCACCCATCAAATTGTACAACCTAATAATGAATTCCCTCTTCCCCCTGCACATCCACGTCCCTCTGCTTCCAGCCTCTCCCACCCCTCTTGGATTCTTATACTCGTTCTACAGTAATGGTTTTATATAATATTTGTGCTTGTGGGACTGAGTTAGCATAATGCTCTTCTATCTTTGATAGGACCCATTTACTTCTAGTTCTAAAGCTTAAAAATCCTGGTAGAATTCGTCTTTTGAAAGTCGAGCGCTTTGTGTTTTTAAATGAACAAACTATTGAAGCTGTTTGTTTCTAATTCTGTTGCATGGCCACCTCTGAACTCCAGGCCAGTGGTTTGTGAGGAGTCTGCCTATATTTCTCATTAACTGAAAGGCAGTCCTGTGCTTCACCACTGAAAGAAAACTAATTTCCTAGGACTCAAGGTCATGTTTAATATTCATGAAACATAAACATTTGTGTGGATTTACTTATTTATTCTAATCAAAATATTCTTTCCTAAAACTTATCTGATGGGCAGTGGCTCATATGACTTTGATACTTCACTTTTTATTAAGCTGGCATTGTGTACCAAGAGTAAAAGTGCTTTCCGCCTAACATCATAATTGGCTGTGAAATCCTGTAGCCTATGTTGGTGTAGAAATGTTTGCATAAACATGTTTTTGGAGACATGTTTGTTTAGACGTGTTTTGAATTGCAAAAGGCCTTTTTACAAAAGCTTGCCTGAGCCATATTCATGACATGCTGTGCCTTAAGTGTTAAATATAAGTAGGTATCCGGCTTGAGCCCTCAGAGAAATGAAATTACTTACAAACTGAAACCGAGAGGTCACACACACTTAAAGCTGTAATAAGAAGTATGCAGAACAACTTGTTTCAGTGGAAACCACAAGTCTATGAAGTCAAGGTGTGCCTGAGAGTAGTACTAGAGAAAATGCCAGCATGAGAACCTTGACTGGCCCAACAAACATTCCCTCAGATAATTCTTGGGGTTTTTCACACCAGAGAGCAAAGGAGGTAATCCTGGGTGGGCCACAATGGAAGAAGGGTGGGAACCTACCAGTTACAAAGCACAAGGAAACTAACAAATGAATTAGAAAAAAAAAAAATTGGCCCTAGCCATGCCCGGAAATAGCATTTTTATTAATGGAAACAAGTTAGAGAGAGAGAGAGCGCGCAAGAGAGAGCACGCTAGTGTGAGCAAATAATTGCTTAGTAAACGGTATGTGCTACTTAGTTTTTAGATTTTGCTCTTATACAGTGTAGCTCAAAAAACTTTGTCCTGTCATAAACGTAGATTAAAGGGTGTGGTGTGTTCTAGATGAATATATGTGTGTAGTATTTCATGAACTCTGGGTCATTTTTGAGTGATGAGTAAGACATCACTATGTGCATCTACCATAGTTCCTTTAGCCGTCCATCCACTGAGCGACAATTGGGTGTTTCTGTTAGTTATAAATAATGCTGCATATCTAGTCATGAGAATGCTGGACCAAATTGTCTCTCGAGTCCCCATTTTCTAAGGAAGTCCCAAAGTGCTTTCAGTAATGGGTGCTCCATTTTACTGGTTCCTTCCAGCAATGTGTGAGAGTTCCAATCTCTCCACAGTTTGCCAGCATTTGTGGTTTGCTATCTTGTTGAACTTTGCTATTGTTGCCAGCATGAGAGGATAGAACAGATTCTGCTGAAAGACACAGGCCTGCCACAAAATGACAATTATGATGTAAGACCACTATTATCAAAAACAAAGAACAGGTTTATCAGGGGCTAGAGTTAATCTTAGTGGGATAACAGGGATGGGAAAGGGGGGGGAGAAAGAAAAGGGACTTGGTGTGAGCAAACCAGCAGTTCTCAGCCGTGGAAGTTTGGGCTCCCCTCCCTCAGAAACATTTGACAAGTGGAGACCCTTCTGGTTGTCACACGGGGAAGGGGGCCGCCACAAGCATCTAATGGATAGAACTCAGGGATGCTGCTCAACATCCTTCAGGGGACGGGGCAGCTACTCACAGCCAAGTTTTTCTCAGCTCAGAACATCAGGCACTACTGGAACTGAGAAGGCCTAGCTGAGACTGAAAATTCCTTAGATGCCGCCTCTTGACCATCCAGCTTGTAATGTGGGTATGAGAGATTCTGACTTTTAAAGACTTGGGCACTACTAGTAAATTGTCACTTTTATTAATACATACAGAATAATTCATGTGATTCTGTGTTAATATGTTAGTTGTTATTTTAAAAGGGAAGACTCACGTACTTTCTCTTAGAACGCAGTAATATATTTTAGTTTTCTGAAACTATTTTGTATACTTTACATTTAATGAACATATGGCAAAGCTTTGATTATGTTAAATGCCTGATCACATTACTTAACTAAGACCGTGTCTAATAGTGTCATTCATAGCCTTGCTTTGGGCCTTGTTGCAAATACAGTCTAAGATAGATGTTTGTGTGGCCTGCCAGAAGCAAATGAGACAGGGCTGTGTACACTTCTTTTGGTGAATATGAGATACCTGTTTTGTTACTGGACAGCAGGAATGCAGACATGGTTGGCATATAGAGAGTTGAGTATGTTAAAAATGACTGGCAAGTAAAGGGACAGATGGTTTAAAGAACAGCTGCTGTTGAATTATTTCAGTAATCAATACCTACACACTGTTAATTCGAGCAATGTAGTGTTTACAGTTTAACTTGCAATAATAACTTTTCACTGGTCAAGCAAAATGAGAACACACGTTATATATCTGCAATTAAATATACTAATGTGTTATATCATTCCCCAGTTTAGTTCTTCTGCCTGTACTGAAAGTGAGAGTTTGACCCCCTCCCCAAGAATGTTTGAATTTTCCCATTTATTATGAAATTACAGATACTCGCGAGCTCAGTTGAGACTTTTAATTTTGCATTGATAATATCGGAAGAATGGATTTCCCCCCCTTTTTTTTCTTTTCTGATAAGGCCAATAAACAAATTGATGATTTAGCTTTTGGGAATGGTAGGGTAAGGTAGAATCTATCCTCAAATGTTTATTGAGGCTCTGAACTTCTGTGCCTGTGAATAACTGCACCATTCCTATTGACCATTTATCCATACTGAGCTTTGAAAAAAAGATACACATTTACACACACACACACACACACACATACACACACACACACACACACAGTGATTGTTTAATTCTTCCATCACTGGGTTCCTCTTCTGTAAAACACTTGTTGGGAAGCATGGACAGCTCCACGTCACACGGTAGTGAATTGCTCCGTGATCCCTCATGTCCATCAACTAGATTCTGCCTCATAGATTCTGACCCTACAAGAAAGAGTAGAATTGTATCTTTGTTTTAGGCTGTAAATCTCAGTGAGATCAGGCTGTATCATCTTTCTTTCTTGGTGAATCTGGTGGGTTCAAACTGCTGGTTTTTATTTATTTTTTTTAAATTCTAAAAGCAACATGCAGCCTATTAGTTCGCCAGGGCTCCTATAAACACCATGGAGGCACCCCCTCTTATTGAGTCAATCCTGTCCCCTGGTAACCCTCCATCAGCTTTCTGAGGTGGGAGCTCACAGCCTCATTATTCTTTTGTGGAGCAACTGGTGGCTTTGAACTGCTCCTATTTTAGGTAACAACTCAGCACTGAACCCACTGTGCCACCAGAGTTTTTCTTACTGTATACCATTGTGTTGGAACGGACTCATAGCTGATCCTCCAGTTGGTTTTCAGAGGCAGTTACTTGCATGGGAGGAGATTTCCCATCCTTTTCCCACTAAGGTAGGAAGGAGAGAAGAAAAAAAAGAAAGCAAGTGACATAGTATTTGTGGTGTCACTGGCTATTAAAAGAAAGGCACATGGCAGGTGCTCATGTTGTTAGATACCATCAAGTCAACTCCGGCTTACAGCAAACCTACGTACAACAGCTCTGA